TCTTAAGGTGTGATATCGCTAAAGATTTCATGGTGTTATTTCTAATTTGTGAGAATGAAACGCGTGATAATAACCTACCATATTCTGGTCCGTCGTTGTTCATTTCCTCGAGTTCTTGAGCTACAAGGTTAATAAGAAAAATGGGGTAAGTTGAACTCCTTCGCTACAAATTTATTGGATGTGTGAATGTGAATAACCGATTCTTTTTCTAGCTTTCTTTAAAGTTCTATTAATGTTTCTTGAGCTTTTGATTATGGATATTTACTTCAGAACAAAAATGTTCCAGTTTACGAAACCTCCTGTCATTCGGGATGTCGTCGTGTGGGATCTTAAGATAGGCGAGCCGCTTCATTGCAATCCTTTTTCTCTGACTTTCTCTGGTCAAAACTGTAAGCGAAGGCAGTTTCGCAGCCTTCCACGTTTTCCGTTTACTGTGGTTTCAGGTTATCCGTCATCTTTGGTAAGATTATAGTTTATATGTTTGTCATTGGAAGCTCTCTACTAAATGGTGACACTTGTGGCCAAAATTTTCCAAACTAAATGTGTTGTTTTATCCGCGCTCAGCAAATTTGACATAGTTCAGCTAATGCCACACACACATACTTTGTGACAAAATAGTGATGAAAGAATGATGATTATAAGACAACATAAAGTGCTTCTAACTCACCTTCATATTCGTTTAGAGCATCTGCGGAGAATGGCAAATATTAATGATAAGAAAACTCTAAATCAAAAGATACAAAAATAAGAAAAAGCCAAAAAGCAAAAAGGAAAACAATTGTAATGCATGACTCTGCTTGTTTACCTTCCTGCTCCTCTCGTAGAGAAAATGCTGCACTGGCCCCAAGAAACAAGACTGTGATGAACAAAATCTTCAATTCCATTGCTGGTAAGTGTTAAACTCAGCCGAAAATGGCCATAAGAGCAGTCTTTGCTGCTCGTTTTATGTGTTTTGATAGAGGGTCTAATATCATGGGACCAAAAGCTAATACTTTAAAACCAACCGTGTTCACTAGCATCGTTACTAGGAGGAAAATAAGTTTTCAAGGATCTTTGTTCGTTAGTGCCAGAAATAGAGCTTTGTGCATTCCAATGTACCTGTATTGAACTTCACTATCTTTGATAATCTACTTGACTTTAAAAATGACGATTTAAGATTGAGCATGTATTGCAATCAACAAATATTAGGATTTTCTGAAGGAACTATTTTTTTCGAATTTATGTTCCAAACTTACGTACAAGAAAATTTTTTTATCCTGTCCATAGGCCGCATAATTCAAAATTAAAACATAATTCGAATGTCACTTAGGAAGTGCATGAGCAGTTTCAGTTCTTTTTTTTTTTCTGCTTTTGGTTGGAGTATTTTTTTTTCTCAACTAACTAGTACCTTACGTTTCTGCTCGTAAAAATCACACAATTTTAAGAAAAAAAAAATAGCAGCCATATCATAAGCCTTTTCTTTTTTTTTTTCTGTAGCAACAAGGATATCTTATGATGTGTTTTATTTTGGCAACTGACGAAGAAAAAAATTGCAAACGTCCTAAGGATGATTGTACACTACGGGTGCACTTTAACTTCAATGACTGTGACGAAAAATGCCACCTCTCATGTTAAGTACCCGGTGGCCAGGTCATTTGAATTTCACATTACTCAGACACAATAATCGCATAATGATAAAATAGTGTTTGTTATCGTGCACTCTCAAAATCGATGTGAGCGTTAAAGGTAGCCTGACCGAGTGGTTAGGTGAATTTGCGTGAAAACTGAAGCTTGGGTTCGGAATTATACTTCTCCGATGTGGCTGTAGATAGCCAAATATTCCGCCCTTACAACGTAAAAATTTTTAACCATGCTATTTTCACTTACAATATTCGTCTAGGGTT